ACATGGACCACGGCGGGTAGAAACCAGACCAAACATAGACCACAGCGGGTAGAAACCAGACTCAACATGGACCACGGCGGGTAGAAACCAGACCAAACATAGACCACAGCGGGTAGAAACCAGACTCAACATGGACCACAGCGGGTAGAAACCAGACCAAACATGGACCACGGTGGGTAGAAACCAAACCCAACATGGACCACGGTGGGTAGAAACCAGACCGAGCATGGACCACAGCGGGGAGAAACCAGACCGAGCATGGACCACAGCGGGTAGAAACCAGACCAAACAGGGACCACAGTGGGTAGAAACCAGACCGAGCATGGACCACAGGGACCACAGCGAGTAGAAACCAGACCCAACATGGACCACAGCGGGGAGAAACCAGACCAAACAGGGACCACAGTGGGTAGAAACCAGACCGAACATGGACCACAGCGGGTAGAAACCAGACCGAACATGGACCACAGCGGGTTAGGTTTAGACCACCTCCCTCCACCTTCAGGATGTTCTAGCACCAGCAGCTCCTCACCTGACAGCACGGCCTCCACCAGATCTCCCTCCTGGATCTGAGCAGCAGAACGCAGCAGCTGCAGAACGTTGTCAGACGTCTGGTCATGGCGGAACAGCAGGATCTTCTCGTACATCCCGTAGAAACCGCACTCTGGGAGCTGACGGACACACAGGACAGGAGTCAGAGTCAGATCCAGTGTTTACAACAGAACCAGACGTGAAGCTGAGATCCTCGACAGTCTGAAGTTTCCTCCTGAGGCCACAGAAGGTCACAGCGAGGAGGCTTCAGGGGGGGACGCTGGTTTTGTGTGTCTTTGTGGTCATTTCGTTTATTTTGGAGGTCATTTTTGGTCTCTGTCTGCTCATTTCATGGCATTTTGTGTTTCTTTGTGGTCACATTGCGTCTCTTTGTGATTATTTTGTGTCCTTTTTGTGTATGTGTGGTCCTTTTGTGTCTTTTCTTTACTCTTTAAGTCCGTCTTTGTTGTCTTTTTGTGTTCTTTTAACAACAGTTTTGTGTGTCCTGTGTATCTTTGTTGTCTGTTGTGTGTTTTTGATAGTTATGCTTCTTTTTGCACTCATTTTGTTTGTTTTTACAACCACTTTGTGTGTCTTTACAGTCATTTTGTGTGTCTGTGTGGCTGCTTTGCGACTCAGTGTGCATCTTTTTTGGTAGTTCTGTTTTTTGCCATCACTTTGTGTCTTTCTATGACTGATTTGCATCCATTGCTATTAGTTTTGTGTCTTTCTACCAGTGTTTTGTTTGTTTTTGGGTTTCTTTACCGTTGTTCTGTGCCCCTTTAAGATTGTTTTACAGCTTTTTGTGTCATTTTGCTTCTTTTGTGGTCATTTTGTGACTTTGTGTGTGTCTGTGGGTTTTCTGTAGGAGGATGGGGACCTTTTTACACAGCTGAACCCCTGATCATAAAACACACACACACACACACACACACACACACACACACAGCAGGATGTTAAAGGTGCAGTTTGTCATGTTCGATCGATGCGGTGCCGCTGAAATGAGCAACACATCGATCAGACACACAAACACACACAGACACACACTCACAAACCAACAGAGAACAAAATGACCACAAACGACATGAAACGACAGCAAACACACACAAAACAACCACAACGACACACAACGACACACAACGTGTCGCCTCACAGTTTGAACGTCGTCGGTTCTGTTCGTCACAAACAGATCAAAGAACCTCAGAATCAGAGTCAAACTCTAGAAGCTGCAGGTTTCCACATGTGGCTGGTGTGAGGAACATCTGGAGGAGGAGGAGGAGGAGGAGGAGGAAGAGGAGACTCCTCATCCTTCACCTCCATCACATCCCCAACAATAGAGTCATCTTTATGCGTGCTGTCGCCATAGCAGCGCCGCCGCTCCTGTTGTCACGGCAACAAGAACTCAAGGCTGAGTCCTCCCCGTTTCCATCACGTCTGCATTCAGATCAGGACTTTCTGTACCGAGCCCTGCAAGGCATCATGGGTAACGGAGCCGAGGTCAGCTGACTGAGACTTTACCCATCGAGTTGTTCTCAGTTTCTCTGCACTCTGTTGTGTCTCTTTGTGGTCGTTCTGTGTGTTTTTATGGGTGTTTTGTGTGTCTTTGTGGTAGTTGGTGTCTTCTCGTGGTTGTTGTTTTTTTTTGTCGCTGTTCTTTTGTGTCTCTTTGTGGTTATTTTGGGTCATTTTGTGGCTGTTTTGCATTTCTTTAGAGTTGTTTTGTGTGTCTTTGCAGTTGTTTTGAACCCCCGTGCGGCTATTTTGTGTCCCTTTGTCGATGTTCTGTGTCTCAGTGCAACATCAGGAAAACATTAAAAGAACATTAGGATGCAACAGTCTAAGAAAACCAAACATTATCTCGCCTTTGAACAGAACATTCTGGGAACTACAAAAAATCATCCCACTGAAGACATCACCAGAACTTTCTCAGAACTTTGCAGAACAGTTTCTGTTCTGGATGCATTAAAGCTGCATCAGTGCTGCTGCAGGTTCAACACGTCCAGCACGTTCTGGATTCTAGAGAAGAACCCGAGTCGTCTGCTGCAGCTTTAATGCGGTTCTCCGTTGGAACATGTGAGGAGGATGAGAGCAGCTGTCACCCTGACGACAGGACAGGCAATGTGATGTCATCGATAACGATGTGTTGTTTTAAGGAAACTGGACCTCAGACAAGGTTCCCATCACGTGACATTTACTTTAACTCTGAAGTCTGAGCAGCAGCTCCTGGTTCATGTTCCTCTGCAACATAGAGTCCTGCAGGAACCAGAACAACGTGAAGGAGGAGCGAGAACTCAAAAATGTAAAAGCCTGGACTCAACATGTTCTCAGGAGTCCACAACATGGAACCAATGAACACGCTGCAGATATGGAACCGTTTCATGTTTCCAGCTTCAACAGACTCTCGTCGTTTCGTTGTTCATCTGTCTCGTTTCATGGCGTCACGCGTCTCGTTTTTCTTGTTTTGCGTCTCATTTTTGTCGCTTTGTGTCATTTTAAAGTTGGAGCAGCTTTGTTGCTTTGAATCTCGTCTTTCCCGTTTTCTCTCTGAGTTGCTTTTTAAACACACATCCTTGTTCTTGTTATACTGATGATTATGAAACCGAGTCCAGCAGCTCAACGTCTGACGATCACACTTTAACGTTACAGCAGCAGCTACGTGTTCATCTAATTATTCTGTTAACGGAGACACGATTTGTAAACTCTAGAAGAAAGTGGGATGAAAAGTGACCACAGAACAAACACCAGCGTGCCCTTGACCCAGTTTCACCCTGTTGCTCTAATTAAGCCCTAAATTTATCTGCTCACGTCCTCTGCTGACGTAACCAACAGTCCCATTAAAAACTCAACCCAGGATCCCCACAACTCTACTTCTGATGAATTAAAACGTCAGTACGAACTGAAACGGAGCATCAGGTGTGGAGGGGGGACAGAGGCCCGGTGAGGCCCGGTGAGGCCCGGTGAGGCAGTGAGACAGAACCAGACGCAGCATGAATAAAGAGCTATGAATGGATGAAAACAGGCAGGAGATGAAAGACGGCGGACAATGACAGAAAACACACATCTGCTCGTCCTCTGCTTCATTCACAGCGTCTCATAATGGCCTCAGAAGGACACTCCACCGCCGCAATCAGCATCCGTTGCCAGGCAACAAGGAGGAACGGCGAGAAACACAGCGACACACACGTTATCACTGTTACAGAGGTGTGTGTGTGTGTGTGTGTGTCACGTCGCTTTATTTCATCTCATCAGAAAACATTTACATCCATTTTATGTAACGCCTCTGAAGGCAGCAGAAAACCTGAATCGCTGCTCAGACCGTCCCTAAAGTGCAGTTTTGTCGGTTTAACGCACAACATCTGACGTCGGCGGTCGTCATAGTAATGCAACACGCTTCCTTCGACCCTCGCACGACTCGAATCCGAGCGTCCGGTGAAACAAGAAGCAGCCTGAGAGTCTGACTGCAAACTGAGGAGGAAACATGGTGATGACTCGACTGAAGCTGCAACAGGTTAAAGACGTGATCAACCAAAAACTGCAAAAAACTGAAGGAATCACCGCGTTTTCAGCTTTCCAACAGTCCCTGAACGCGTCACGTGATGCTCTGTCAAGGAGATTTTAAAAAAAAACTGGACTTAAAACCCAGATATTTCCTCAAAATCCCCTAAAATTCACCCAAAACAACCATTTGTGAAAAAAACTAAAAACAAACCATCAACTCTCATCAAACTGACTCAGCTGAGACCAGCAACACTTTGTGTCTCTTTGTGGCTGTTTTGTGTCTCTTTAGATGTTTTGTGTGTCATTGATCCAACAAGCCCATTCTGCAGGGCAGTGGTAAGTCTCATAGTTTCAGCTATAGTTTAGATATCTTGCTTCAAGCTTTGTTTTATTTAATTTGTGTGTTAATTGATTATTTCTCTATTGTTTTTTTAAAAAAAAAACCCAATCTAAATCACACATTTCTGTTGCTAAACCAGAAACCAGGTTTCTATTTTTAGTGTTTAGATGAAATTCATGTTGGCCCTAAAAAATAATAATAATAAAAAAAAATCTCACCTGAATTCCAACATTTATTAGAGCAAGAAACAACAAAAACACTTCGAACAGTCAGATTTTTAACTTTCCATGTAGCTCTGTGGCAAGAAACAACCAAAGATAACAACTGGGATCAAAATCACTGAAACTTCACACTAAACATTCTGTAGATTCTGTAAAAGAGTTTCAGGTGAACTGCAGCCAGTGTTTCCTCAAAGAGAGACTGAAGGAGAATCCAAACCTACTGGATCAATGAATAGATGCAGCATGGATCAGAACCAGAGACCAGAGGAGCCAGTTGGTGGAGATACATCCAGCTGATGGTGGAACATCTTTCTACATCTGATGGTGGAACATCTTTCTACAGCTGATGAGCAGAGCAGAGAGGAGAAGTCTGTAGACATGGAGATAGCTCAACATCTGCAGGACGAGGAGACAACACTGTCTCAAATAGACACGAAACAACAACGACATGGATGACACACAAAATGACCAAAAGAAGAGAGAAAATAACAGAAAGGAGA